GGTGTAACAGTTAGAAAAATAAGGCGTTTGTTTGATTTTCTAGCCATTTTTACTGAGCACACTAAGCATGTAAAATTCGAATCCAGCTGTGCAAAGTCTTTTACTTATATATAGCTCTTGAGAATGGGACTTAGAGCTAATCTAGGGTACTGACAGGACAGAAGGATTCATGCGAATTTCCGACGACACTAGTCCTAAGTTTGCTCACAGTTTGTATTGTACGAAGTGACTATTTCATCACAAAGCTGCACAGGGTGTTCCGTTTTTATTTCGAGCACAGTGCTTTGATTTTTCGGTAAAATGGGAAGGATTCTTCGACAGGTTGTGGATGGGCTCAGATTACAGGAGTACTGACTTCTGCTATTAATGTTAAGAGTAATCGGTAGTGCGGTTTGATCGGTAAGATTGGGAGGGGTTGGTATTTAGAGACCGTTTAAATATTTAAACAGGGCAATCAGTAGGATATTCAGCTAAACAGGAGTTAAATCTGGTGTCGAAGATAGGTCAACCTACACACGTCAGAGGGCGTATGTTCACGTTAAGTTTAAGGGCTCTGGGTGCTATTCAGGTAAGAACGTCAGGAAAAACTAGCTTGGTTCTATCTTCTTTCCGACCAAAGACGCCAGTCGTTTGTGGTTATGTTTTGGAGATATAAGTATTACCCGTATGGGCATTACCCGTTCCGAAGTCACAGAAACGTATTCAGAGGTTTAATAATTGATGCCGTAATTATAAGACATAGATAAAAATTAATGTAGCCCATAAGAATAAGAAAAGAGAGGAAACGTAACGCACACGCGTGTGCATATTTATATACATGCGCAAATGTAAGACTATCGGTTGATGAACTTTTTGAACTAAGGCAATGTTGTCCCTCTAATTTCCTACGCGAAAAGGCCACCCATCAGGCAGTATCTTACCAGGTAAAATAATAAACACATACGCAATGCAGCCATCTCTTTATCGACAAATTCATATTGTCCCCCACGCTGTGATTTTTGCCATTGGGCCAAGAGATCAGATAGCTGAAGATGTATTATGGGGACAGCTGGATTGATTTTAGGATTAGTTTCGAAAATGAACGCACAACTTCATGGCTTGAAAGTCAGCGAGGAAGTTTCACAGAATTTTCTATCATCAGTTCCGTGGACTTGCCCAAATAGCCGCGTTTTCAATGACAAAGTGGAGCTACCCAGATCCTGAAATAAACAGATTTATTCAATATTTATTTCTCGGCTTCTAGATTCATAACTGTTAAGTTTAATTTCCGAAAAAAAGGTTGTTTGTTCATTCATCCTGAAGATAATCAAAACATAAGGTTCGTGAAAAACGGCCAATCAATATGTTTTGCCTTCAAAGAGGGCTGTTGTTAGAGGTCAATAACTCAAGAAGTTTTGAATCATATTTATTCACTCCAGACTGAACATTTAAATTCCGTTCAGTTTCTTCCAATTTTATGGTCATAAATAGAATCATTGATCTTTGACTCGGCGAATTTGTTCTCAGTGTGGATCAAGAGCTCAAACTGAGAAACTGACTGCCGGGATTATGAAGATTGTGGTTAATATGATGCAACGAAACTCAACCGAATAATCTTGTATCCACTAGCCAATCCTTCCCTTGAATATCTGGATGTGTAGCGTGTCCAACTTGAATCCATATGTCCAGTTAAAGTTTCGCTGCCCCGGTTTTGAAATAAGTATCTCTCCGTAGTTCGATAGTGGACTTCTTCACAGTATCAAAAAGACGTTGTGTGGCCCTTCTGATGCGAAAGTTACTTCCAGCATATAAAATTTACCGGTATCACCCTGAACACAGAACAGCGCATTCTTTAAGGTTGGTTATAATTTTCAGATCTCGACGGAAAGTATAACCACTCCCAAACTGGTTAGCCTTCACTCAGTTTCTTGAACTGTGAAACAGCAGTGGTAAATGCGACAAAGGAAACCATTGAAATAATGTTGAAAACCATATCTACTTCATGCCTGAACCCAGACCTTCAGGGAATTTACTGTAGGTGGTGACACATAGTCGCCTTAACGTTAATGGCTGACAAAGATTCCCTCTTCAAATGGTTCAAGTGGTTGTTTACGGAATAGAAGAAACTTTCGCTTGACTGGCTTTCGCGTCTACAATCCAGGGACCATCACTTCTTGAGGTTGTTAACCTATGTGCAAGTAAAGACGGCGAAAGTGGCGGTCAAAATGTGAAAATTCAGTTAGTTCTGGGCAGATCCTAGCCACATGTTAAATAAATGTCCAAACGGCGTCTAAAGGATTCAGACGAAGTAGCCTAGATCAGGTCTGCAGGAAGAGCATTTCGGGGCTTACCGACTCTTAAGGAAGAGAAGTTGTGCATGATGTCCAACTTGGTATGTTCTAGACTTGGTTTCTGTACGTGTCCTCTAGGATTGGTCCTATAGCTAAGATTGAATGAGTGATGGGTGGGTGTCCTGGTGTACTCAAGACGTCTGATTAATTATTAGGCCTTCTCTTAGCCTCCTATATTCCAGGGATTATAGATCCAACACAACCGGTCGTTCTTCATACTTTTTAGACCCGAGTATTCGAGAAAATTTGCCCACGGACTTCCGGGTGCGTTCTAAGCTTCATTTTTATTGCAACGGGGAAGAAGGGGAGACGATGGTCGTGAATCTAGGTGAGGCCGTATAAAGGTGTTGAAAGATTGGTGGGAGCGCCTACTATCCGATTGCCCGAAAATTCATCCTGAGGTTATAAAGCTAAAAACTGAAGATTATCCTAAGTAATAAACTGTTGTATTACCAGTTAGCAAACTATGAGAACGGACTAACAACGTCGGTTGGTTATGACGCAAACCTTGAACACTGCGCGCTTTTGGTATTGACAGTGGAACCTGTCTGTGAGAAGGGAGACGGGAATCCATATCAATCTCATGAATTTCAGTAAGTTTTAGTAAGATTATGCACACTGATGACTTGATACGTGAATTATTTAATGCTAGATACCATTTCGTAAGCTTTCAAAAATTATGAATTTGATGGTGCTTGTAAACTGGTATCCCTCGTGTTAAACCCGTTAAATGAAGACAATATTCATCATTATCTAAACTTTAACACTACGTACGCTGCAAAGTAATATCTCCTTGTTCGTTGCATAAGTAGCAGGACCTTCGGCCGTTTGTAATCCAGTTTAATGACATCCCATAAGTACCAATCAGGCCTCAAGTCTTTTAGATATTTTGAGATGCATCAACTTCTCTCATGTTAAACTTTTTTTAACGTGAGAATAAAACATTTATTTGTTTATTTATTTATACTAACACAAGTTTCAGCGAAAACGTCTTTCTCAGTGGGCACAGGATTTTAAGTCTTGAGGGACTGGAACGCCTGAATGCTTCCCCATCAACGATGCTTCAAGCTCCATATCGTCGACACACATCTTGTTTTATGTGTATCACGTTGCATTTTCAGGATTAAGTGTGATCCCGTTATTGACCACCTAGTTTTGAAGTTAAATCTTTTTGTAGCGAAACGCTGTCCTCCTCGCTCTTGATTTCTATTGATATTTCTGCATCGTAGGCAGAAAAAGGGATTTCGGGAGGAAGCTGTTGAGGCAAGTTATTTAAATATGATTGAAATAGAGGATGCCCTAGTGCTGAGCCTTGGAGAACACCACTGGGACGTTCTGTTTCTTCAGATGGAGAAACTCACTTGAACTCCAAATGAACTACCTCTTACATATGGAGGCAGCTGGTCAATGAGCAGTGGTTCTATCCCGATCAGTTTTAATTTGTCAGTAAGGCAGTGGTGATTAACACGATCAAATGCCTTGGGGAAGTCTAGGTAAATAACACAGGTTTGGCCCCGACGGTCGACAGTACTAAGCCATCTATCTATTGCAGCGAGATTAGTGATGCAAGGGTATCCTCTTCTAAATCCATGTTTTTGAGGCGCAACGTAGTTGGTGGTTGTGAGGTGTTCCCTCATTCCATCATAGACTAACGATTCCATTATTTTGGAAGGTGTGGATAAAAGCGTCACCGTCCTTATTTATTTGGTTTGCTTCGCTGACCCCGTTTGAAGATTGGCGTTATGTTGCCCAACTTTTAAGTATCGGGCACCTTCCCTTGACTTAAAAAATTCTTAAATAGCTTACTAAGGATTCGGAGTAGATTGATGCTCCTTTCCACAGTACCACCGGATGGATTTTATCCGGTCCTGGAGAGGTGTCTTATGTGGGCAGTAGCAGTTTGCGCTACCAACCCAACCCTTGGGTCGACTACCGAGGGCCCTGTTTGGTTACTGGGATATTCGTTAACTCCTGAGCAGGTTGACGATGACCAAAAGATTTGCAAATACTGGTCGGCTGGGAGCTCAGGTGCCTGTGTCGCTACTAGTCAGTCAGTTGGTAACTAGTAATTGAGGGACTCCCTTACGGCTGCTGTAATGCAGAATTTTCGATAAGTTTGTAGTTTTCAGTGCATTTGTCTCCGAAATAAGACACTTTAAGGATTACAAGGAACTTCCATCGTTGAGTTGGACGTTTAGCTCGTCTCGTGTGTTACTAACGCTCATAAGTATCCTGTGTTCGTAAGATGAAGTTTTTGCATTTTATTTGAATCAGAGGTTCCCTTTATCTTTTTCGAGTATAACACTGGTAATTACAGGAAAATTCAGTGACTCAGGGGTTGGAGATCACTAAATATTTTATGACCTCTGCAATAACAAAGCTCTCATTTTGGTCTAGAGAGCCAAGTTCGTTAGCAAAGACACAGAAGTGCGACCAGAACAAGTTGTTCCACGGAGTGTTGAACAGTTAGTTCTTATATTTTGAAAAGATCTTTCATACGCGTTTGTACGCATCAAAACCCAGAACCTGTTGGCACCGCAGAAGCGGTCTGAAAATCCGGAGGGGTTTCAAATTTTGCGAAATGTTACGCGACATTCTATATAAAGGGAAGGAGTTGGCTGAAAAAGTGTAAGATATGCTATTTATATTGATTTTAAAAGAACTAATATCATGATGAACTACACAGAGGTGGAGATGAAGGTTCGCGAAGCAACGAACGATGAAATATGCTGTCCGCATGGGAGACTTTTGCAAAAGCTCGCAGACTATACTTATAATCATGAAACATATCTTGAAGTAATGTCAACTTTATGGAAAAGAATGCATTCAGATGGAGAGTGCTCCTGGAGGAGAGTTTATAAGGTTAGAATCATTTTTTTATTAGGCTTAATATAGTAACTGAGTTTAGTCAGTGATAGTTGAAAGCAGTCGTTGTTTAGACTTTGGTTGCAGCAAATCTTTATGTGTTATCACTTGTGAATCTCTCACCACAGCTTTTTATAGGGATATGTCCATATATTTGTTAGCAGAATTGTGAATTCTGAAATGCCCCACTGTTGTTTATTCTGTACTAAAGTATAACACCATCAAATTTGATAGTAAGTAGTGAAACTCTTCGTACTATACTTTTTACTGTAACTTAAGCACTCGGATTGCCACTGATGTGTCCTGGGTTTGGATTCTATTCCACCTACTTTGTCCTGGGCAAGTGGGTAGCATCGTAATCCCTAAAGTAGTGATCGTGGCCATTTGTCTAGTAAATAAATCATGTTCTGAGTTTATCCAGGTTACTCTTTGTTATGTAATAATGACTTCAGTTCGTAGCCCTTTTCCCATTCCTTTCATTGTTGGTGTCGAATCATTTTTACTGTACTTTCAGACTTCTAAGTGGTTTTTTAATTAGTGGTTTTCGTCACTGAAATGTTGCAGTGTACTACAATACCTCTGAGGAAAATAGGTGCTTACAAGTGAAAATACTTAGCGGCCAATTGTGAGTCGGTTTATATGAAATTCAGATCCACAGCGCAAAAATCACAATCTGAAAACCCTGTAACTGGCTACGGGGGGTATCACAAAAATTAGACTAATCAAACGACATTAGGCCTTTTTGTGTTGAGTATCATTTCTGCTTGTTTTGTTCATTGTTTAGTTGGGATTACGTCAGTACTTTTTATGCGGGCTCATTTTATAAGTGTATTCGTTTCTACTTCATTTCCGGATAATTGGTTAGATTTGCACATCTTTGACTATTTATTGCATGTTTTTGTCTATAAAACCCATACTTGTTAGACCTTTTCTCATCTAGTTGGTTTCGTTCACCATTTTAAAATCACTACCCGGTTTCTTTATTGATCTGTTTTACTTGCAGTCTCTCATTGTCCTCGCTTTCCTATTGAAAAATGGTTCAGATTATGTAGCACAGGGAGCCCGAGATCATATCTATGACATCCGTACGCTTGAATCTTTCCGTTATTTTGATGAACATGGAAGGGACCAGGGTGTGAATGGTGAGCGATTGCTTTTCACTACAAAGCATTGTTTTTCACTAGTAGATAATCTTACTCTTTTATTTTTATCTTATTAAAGTTTGGAAGTTTGACATCGCATTGCGCTAACAGACCTTAATTCAGTGGCCTCATGGATGTTATTTAATTTTTGTATTGCTGAATGAAGTCTAATCGAAGTTTTACTCATTTGATCGATTCGAGGTCTTCTATACCGTTTTGCTGTGTAAATTTTTTAAATTTTCTGTTTATCTGTATACTCCAAGTCTGCCACAAATTGTTTGTCTTATCACTGTAGAAATGGTTTTAGATGCCTGCTTACAGTGTGAGATGCATTCCTGTGCAAGGTTCTATGTTGATTTTGTCTGTCTGTGCTATAGTTTCTTCGAATAAGTGACTGGCATATGGAGCAAAACACTCCTAGGAAAGGTCCAAATAACCTACTACACCACTTCAGTTACCGACCACTCACCTTTAGCCTAAGTGGGAGGTAGAAAATACTCCCAGGGACCTCGTTGAAATTAGGAAGATTGGTTGAGATCTAAAAGGTGGACCTGGAATTTTAACTCTAGGAATCGTTCACCACGGTGGTCAGAACTCACTGGTGAAAAAATGAAGTAGTACATAGCATACGGAAATACAACTAGTTTAGATCGTTCTAGTGTATGAGAGAAATTTTTTATCTGGTAACAGTAGGGCAACCGACTTAAAGTATAGTATTTAAGGTTCTAGCATCTCTACTCATTTGACATCTAACTGCAGCTCGAAAACAGCATATCTGGGAAAATTGGACATTTTGCAGATGAGGGCTATGGTGTGCTCACTAGACATTCATTCTACCTCCGACTTTGTATCATAAATATTGTAACCAACTAGAATCACTTCACGCTTTTTGATTTGGAGATGCGAGTTGAAACCATTGACCGAAAGGTGTTGTGACAATGTCTAACTGAGGAATTATTGAGCAAGTATTTTGTACTAATTGTGTCCCTACTCAAATCCATTTTTCCGTGTAAAGGTTTGTGAAAAGTATTGATTTAAATTTACGACATTGATTTCTGTGAAGGTAGTTGACTATCACCACTCCTATTTATCTTTATTATAGATACACTAATATATTTGATTCTGATTGTCTGTAACCTCTAGGACTGATCTATTGTTTTGCCTAGATAGTTAAGGGGTAAAGCTTATGCATGCAGCGTTGATTGAAGCAGGTTTGAGTCCTGAGGGAAATGACTTTCTTCAAAGTTGCAAGTACACCTTACTGATGAGTGCTGGCAATCATGAAACTTGGTCGAGAGCTGAGATCAAGCAAGAGTTCTTTTTAATTAACTCCTAACATTAAAATACAAGTACGTTAAACGTTTCTAACACTAGTTAACAATAAGGGGACTGCAGGGTCAGTATAAGTTACCATAGTTTAAGCACAAAGCAAAGTAACAGAGTACTTCAACAATTGTGTTTAATTAAGAAGTCTCGTTAATCCCGATTGCTTAGTTGTTGACAAATCCCAAGCATGGTTAAAAAAGTGTTTGAAATTTCCCCCTGCTCCCGGATATTGTCTAATTTACGACTGTACTTCTCAATTTATTATTTCCTACTCTACGAATTAAACACCGTTTTAGAATCAGATAGATAGATAAATCAATTTAGAACCTGCTACAGGAATGCATCGGTTCAAGTCTCTGTAATTCACAGCAGTATGCAAGGCAGAAGTCCATAGAAGAGGGTATTAAGGGAAACAAAAGTGCATGAAAATTAAGGTAAACAGATGGAGGTTATTGCAAATATTCACGACTTCGAAGATAATAAAGAGTGTATACATCTGCACCGTTGTGGTGGATTTTAGACAATGTCATCAGAAGTCTCCAACCACTTATTACTATCGTCTCGACAGCGCCAGCCGGGTGGCCTGTACCTCCCTGCACGACTCAGACTGGCAGTCAGAGGCTTCATGGGCTGATGTAAGATTTTGGTGTGATCACGTTTAGCTCATCTTCTAACTCGATCCTACTTCCACTAGCATCGCTCACCGAGGTGAGCAGTGGCTTGGACAAGTGCGCATGCCGAGCCACCACTTATCTTGACTTGGAATGCTAGGGGAAGTTGGATCAGGCTAGGAGACGGTTCAGGGTGGCGAGACCGAGATCTGACATCAGCCGATAAAGTCCCTGACTGTTAGTCTGAGGCGTGTGGGTAATGTAGGCCGCCTGGTTGGGGTCCGGTGGATGGAACGAGTCAGTGGTTGGGGATTCTTGTTAACCCGGTTACATGGCGTAGATGTATTCACTCATTGACGTCTTCTAAAGCTTGAATATTCACACTAACCTTTTTATTCAGGTTTATTTTCTCATACTACTCTATCTACTTTGTTATAATTCCTTTTCTATCCAACTGTTCTTGTGTACTACTGTGAAGTATGGGACTTGAATCCATGAACTTGTGTGAGATATTCTACGTTGATGCTGTCTTACTGGAGCTATCACTCACTGGACCAGATAGTTGACTTTCAGCTGATGGGTCATGAGTCCCAACATTGTTCCACTTACCAAGATATGTATAACCAGATAGTATTCCACACCCTCATAATAGATATGACGCTGTGTAGTGCACGTAACTGAACGTGGCTGTGATTTATACTGCATTATATTATTACTTTGATAAACCAATTACTTTTTACAAATTTGTAGATAAACAGTCCTAGTTTTTCCTTTTACATAGTTGCATTCATGATTAGTGAGGATTGTTTGAGTAATCACTGAGAGGAGGTTAAATTTTCGTTCCAGGTTTCGGTTTGATAAGTGACCATTGATGTTTGACTAGTAGTAAAGCTAATGGAGTCCCCATGAGTGTAGATGATCTATGCACTGGTAGAAAAACAGTTATGTTGCACAGTAGTATTTGGGTTTATTACAAATTTTAGTAATACACCTATAGCAACCCGTTATCTATGCTTTCTCAATTTATGTTTTAGTCCGCATAAAAGTCCAAGAGGTAATCGACCTTTTACAGGATCCGGAGAAGTTGCAGCAAGAGCGTCAAAAAGCCAAAGCCAGCCGACATCTTTATACAGGCTATGGAAACACCAGTGAGTCAGATTGGGGTTATGCTTCACATGGTGGTGGGGATTATTATCGACGATCGTAAGTTTCCATCACAGATACTAGCTTATACATTTTGTCGAATTTCTTGATATTCGTTGCCGGTAGCTTTATAGGTGGCAGTTGTTTTAAACAGGAACAAATATCATAAAACAGTATGACGATATGTAGAGGACATTTGCCAGTTTCTTGAGTACAAAAGTGTATCCAAGGATTTATTCACTCCCAAAACTGAGATTTCTCATCTTATTATTGTATTTACTATATTTCAATAAATTATTAGAACTGAATAGGTCATCACAGATTTCGTTTTGGCTTGGGAATTTATCTTACTGTAGCTGTTTGCAGGGTCCTTTGATTGTAAACCTCAATGCCACAGAAAACTTAGTTGTACCTGTTTGTCCTTTGATAGTTTCTCACCCATTGTCATAAGATATTCTAGTCAGTTTACCTAAAGTATTTATTCACTTTACAAGTGCCACGAAGTTCTTTGAATGTCTAACTCTAATGTTATAATTTCCTACGTAAAACAGAAGCAATCAGCTATGCAATAGAATTTCTTCAGTGGGAAAAGAACATCTTTGTGCTTGGTGCATTGTTAACTGAGACAAAAGTGTATCTTGGTTGTGTTTTGTGTTCTCTGAGCTAGGTGGTTTAATCGTGAAGCTTTTATTGTCTCTCTAAACAACATCATCAGCAGTCACTTCAGAAATGCATCATATTGGATTAAGCTTAGCGCATTTGCAGCGTCTTGTGCACATACAACTAAGACTTAAGGAGTGGAGTAATTATACTGGGTGATGATTGAAGGTGAAGTGGAACTTTGGAGCGCTGCCAGATTCGAAGCGGCGACCGCCAGGTTTCCGGGTGGTTTTCGGTGAAAGCCATGGTGATTAAAGTGAAATAAAAATCTGGTGGGGAGTTGGACCTCGTAGCTCAATTGAAAAAGCACCGGGCCCAGAAGTGCAGTGGTCGCCGGTTTGAATCCGGTCGCGGTGTAAATTTTCATTTTACCTTCAATCATCACCCAGTATAAATACTGCAAGTTTGTCAAACCACATTTATCTAAGATGGTCAAGATGAAAATGGAGTAATGTTTTATGAATGACAAGTTTACACACACTGATAAGGTTTTTTTATCCTGTTACTTTTGCTAAAAGTATTATCAAGATAAAAACTTACCATTGTGTGTTGGACTTGTCAATAGGAATTTATTTATTATGCTCTGATCTGTCCAGCGATGCACAAACTATTCATCGATCTATTAAATGCAGCGTTCTTGCGTGATAATAGTGATAGACATTAGTCTAATAAAGTTACTCAAACAATTTATAGTTTTTATAAGTTGCATGATATTTGTCGATACATCTTGGAACTTAATAAATTTTTAACAACCAGATATTGTATTGCCAACAGAGTTTCTGTTGTAAACTACTTTTTTCAATGAAGCAGATAATAATTTGTTCGAGATCATTGATACAGCGAACTAATAAATTGTACAATATGAAAAGATGGATTACACTTGCCAGCAGAAGATTTCATCAACCAACCACCGGTGATAATTCGACTCAAATATAAGCAAGTGATGCTTTGTGTTTAGTGCTGAGCTACTATTTCTCCATATGCTATGAGATTCCTGTGGATTTCACAAAGATAAAGTTATGCAATGTCTTTCTTTAGCTTTCACAGGAGTTGTAAATATGAAATTCCAAAATATCATAGAATAAGATGACTTTAAATATCCTTTAGATTTTAATAGCTGTACAATTTGTGATAAGAACTTTGAAGTATTTTGTTCGTTACATTAATGCACGCTAGTAAAGTGTTTTTTGACAATGTTCATCTAGACGAAAATTTTGCTTTATGTTATTGCTAGTCACTAACTGTCAATTATTGTTTTCTTTCCCTCCCGCCCCCGCCCCCTCCCGCATCTCACGGCCTCCTGTAAAATACATATATATGAATGCATACTATGTAATCTGGTCTCTGAATTGCTCACTATTCGCTATGTGTGCTTATTTATTTTATCAACTTTTCGTTTTTATTCTTTGTATTCCATTGTAAACTATTGCTTGGGCGTTTTCTTTTGTGTACAACAAACATTTTTTTGCATTTTTTGTGCCACACGCTTTGCACAAACCATTTGTTTTTCAAGTGATCCACTTGATGCTTATGACAAAGAAGTGTATACATCGAAAAACTTTACTTTTCAATCACGTACAGCATCTAAAACTGTTATATCTCAAATGGAATCAGATTTACCTCCGCCTAAGTTGGGTAGTTTTGATGACTGGCATGTGGGTAAAGAACGTGGTTTAGTCGATGATGTTTTAGAACAATTCAAAGAAGCTTGGGATTTGGCAAAGGAGTCTACTAAAGATTTAATTTTCACCAAAAAGTCTCCAGATCTCAGAACAAAGTAGGTAGAGTTTCATGTACACTTCGATGAGAATAATGAACTACTTTTTAACAAATGAAGTCTTCAACTTCGATTTCTTTGTTTTATTCATGGGCTGAATCTCAAGTACCTTATCATCATAGTGATTATTACTACAACTGCTAGCAATGTATCAACATAGAAGGGTGTAAGTAGTTTAACACTAGCAGATAAACAGGGTTTTATGCAGCCGGATCATGTTAGTGGGAAAAGTTTTTGTAGGCTTTTCAACACCCCGCTGCACTTACTGAAGTTTGGCAAGCCAGGTATTATCACTAGTCTCTTACACAATAGTTGACTGATTGCATATCGTTCCCTCTTTATCGTGGTTATTGGTGGATATAACGCATATGAACCATAGACTGGAAGTCTACTACATAACAATTGAAAGGCACAGCTTACCTAACTCCATTCATTGATGAATGTTGATTATTACAATTTAATTCACAGTTACTTAATGTCATAGTGTAAAGTGTTTGTGGTTTTGTGCGCTTGTACATTGCTTGTTTGCATTAATCACTGTGATTCTCTTTATCTCTCACACAAACAATGCTTTTTGTAACTTTGATTTCGATACGTTAATATATGCTAACAAACCCAACGACAGCGAGATAACCGCTAAACAAGCTGTTCTCATATTATTTAGCTTTTACATTCCCCTTTACATTATTCTCATTTTTAGCTTTTTCTTAAATAACATTATCACCTTAGTTTGTGTCATACCATTGGCATATACTGTCCGTGTGTAGTGGGCATTGCTGATCAGAGTGGATATAAGTAGTATATGTTGAGAGGATGGCTGAAATCATCGGCAATTACTAGCAATTCGTAACGATCCTGCCCAGAGAGACACAAGAGACAATGCGAGCGTATTAAGAGCAAATCAAGATAAAAGCAGAAGAGGAAATGAAGCACATTATGCAAATGACCGTCTCAGTGGAAGGTGTACAATATTTGATGACTACTGTACAAGATGTTAGTAAAAAACATTCCTTCCTTCGTCTCAGTCTTCTCGTTTCCTTCAATTAGTGTCGCCGCTTTTGGACATGATGAAGACTCCGTAGCCTGCAGTGTTGAGGATAGAGACATCAAAGGTCTTCCTCAGGGACTTCGAGTCGGTCGCGGACGTGGTGGGTGTCCGGATTGAATATCATGGTGCTTAGCACTTTGTTGAGGAGTATAGCGAAAGGGGAATATGACGGTGTGGAACATGTGGATGGGAAGGAGACTTGGGAGAGAATGATTGAACGCCTGGAGGGGGAGTTTGATAGCTCAGCGGACAGGGAACTGGCGATGCAGCAGTTCCGGAGCACGAAACTTGGAGTAGATGAAGGCCCGCTGGTATTGGCTATGAAGTTGACAAAACTACTTCGACGAGCTTTCCTCGCTTTGGATGAGGAGTCCCAGGAGCAGTTGCTGGGTGCGCAGTTCACCTAAAGTGTCCCAAATACCATCACCCAGGATGTACGTCTAGTGAACGTAGCCCAACCTATGCATATTAGTGAGCTGGCCAAGGTTACCAAACAGCTAATGCGTACAGCAGTAACTGCGATGGAGTTAGCAGAAGTAAATAACTGTAAAAACGACAAGACGGAGATGAAGGAAGGAATGTTTTTTACTAACATCTTGTACAGTAGTCATCAAATATTGTACACCTTCCACTGAGACGGTCATTTGCATAATGTGCTTCATTTCCTCTTCTGCTTTTATCTTGATTTGCTCTTAATACGCTCGCATTGTCTCTTGTGTCTCTCTGGGCAGGATCGTTACGAATTGCTAGTAATTGCCGATGATTTCAGCCATCCTCTCAACATATACTACTTATATCCACTCTGATCAGCAATGCCCACTACACTCATATTTTCCACACCTTGATATACTTTTTACAAATGATAGTAGTTTATGTAACACATAGGAAAATGTTGAAGCTTTTCTCACTTTAGTGGTACATATTACCGGCAACTTATTCTTTATTGGCTTGTGCACTTAACTTTGACATAGTGGACTGCATGTCAGAAATCCGTTTTACCCATGGAAGCTTAACTAACCAGATAGCATCATTACTACTCAGATGTGATACATTGTCTAGTAAAGGAAAATGTGTATGATTGCAGTTACATATCTACATCTATACTTGTGTTTAATTCCCCAGTCTTCGAACTGTATCAATTGTATTCATCTATGATTTAGAGTATTAAGGCTGGATGAGATTAGTTACAGTAGGCTTAGCGTTAAATGTTGAAGTATAACATTGATTTACTATCTCTTTGTTTTCTGCATTAACCATCCGATAGAAAATCATCATGGGTTTTATAGGCGACATTCATAGCTGTATTCATTATGAATATGATAAATTCTACGAAAGATATTTTATGATGTTCAACATATTGTGTATACATTATTTTCATAAGTAAGAAGGAGATACTTTGAATGACCCAGATGAAATGTTGAAAGAGGTTAAATGTTTCAACTGGTTTTTGAATAGGTTATATTTTGTATCTTTCGCTGGTTTTCTCATCATTTTATAGTATACATTATCTTATGAAACACTGTAATTTTGTATTGTTGTAGATAAGGCTGTATTTATTAGTCAGTATACTATCCTGGTCATTGAGTTTTATTTCGTGTTGTACAGTCTCACTTCTTTGACATATCCCTTTTATTTTTGTAGTTTAGTAAGCAGCCTTCTTTGCTTTTGACATTCATTTTGATCGTTTAGATTTCATAGAGTTTTTTGTTTTGACTGTGTGTTTGTATGTGCTGTTACCTGTAACAAAGTATTCATTCCCTGCCGCCGCTGCCTTTGTTGTAATTTGTCCTTACGGATAACATATATATATGTGTATGTGTATATGACATCATCTAAGGTGTAATGTAGCTCATCTATATAGGCACTTGACTTCCAGGTTGTTGCTCTTCGCTTCAAACCCCAGTACACTTACCTCTTTCTGAGGAACTGAGTATTATTATTAGACGTTATATCATCAATTTACCTCATGGCCTACTATAACTTGTGCTAGATGCGGTTGTATTATTATTATTATTATTATCATTACAAAGTGCTCTTGTGCAGACGATGCACGTTATTCAAATGACGGCGAAGTAAGTTTACTCTCATACTGGGTTACTTCTATTCACTTATTATTTCACTGTACAGAAGAATATTGTATAAAATGTCTTGTTCCTTGTAGAAAAGAAAAAAAGGCTTATTCAACAAAGTATCTGCATTTCAACACTTATCTATGTATATATATATTTTAATTTTTTCAGTGAATCTAATCCACGTATGGTATCTGAAGAGGTCTATGAATTCCCACCAGATGCTTGTGAATCAAGTGGTACATATGAACTTAGAACACGCTCATCATTACACAGTGATTACCCTTCTACACAGAATAAATTTTCATCAATAAATTCCTTAAAATCTACTAATATTTCTCATCGTAATATTAATGTAAATAGCAATGCTCATGCAACATCACAATCCAGTGATAATCTATGGATAATACAAAACAAATTGTTACACAACCTAAACACGAAGTATGTTAATTTTCTTACAGAATTTAAATTGGTTATTTTAAAAATCCATTTTATATATTGATGTTTTTATAGGTTGAGTTTGCCAGAGAAATCTATCACTACCACCATCTCCTACTCATCATCATCATCATCATCATCATCATCAAAATCCACCTAAATTGTAGTCGTATCCAAATCACAACAGTATAAGAATGTGTAATTCATTGACCCAAGCACTCATCTTTTAAGCGACAGGTTCTGTACTCAAATGCTGTTTCCCACCTGCTTCGATTTAGTTAACGGGTAGTGTCGAAAACCTTAGTGCAGTAAGCTTAATTCAACACTTAATGTCGAAGCCGGCATGGTGTAGCTGAGCTGTGTCAATACTAGTTAGCAACACGTATTTCATGTAAAGAGAGAAACAGGAACTGTCTGATGTGATGTCTATTAACCGTCGCAGTCAACGCGGACAGCTTCTGTTGGTATCACTTGTTGTTGAATTGGTCAGTAGAAAATTCCTGTTCCTTCTGGAAGACTTGTCTGGATGATGATCATGTGTTGACTCAGACAGGACTGTATGCACGTAAGTGGATGTAAGAATACAACAACTCAAGGCCCATTCCGTGCTTAAACGAAATATAAGCATGCTTAAGTTGCTTTAAAAGAAGCATTAGCTAGATAGATAGTGGAATCTAGTAACTTTTATCATCCCTAAAAAGCCTGCTGCAATCTCTAGTCTGATGTAAAAACAGCTGTACAGACCGTGACTGACCCTGATATAGAGGTTGTAAAGGGTCAATAGATCTCAGTAGCTTCATCTGGATAAGTGGGTGTATATAACGCATTTCTACAGGCTCCAAACACAGAAGTAGAAGCAACTCAAAGGTAGAGTGTCGCAAAGTTTATCCAATGACCTTGAGCAGTGTTGGGTAGCGAAGGCTAAAGGCATGAAAAGACAATGGCAATAAGTAAGTACGCAGTACATTCATCAGGGAAACTGTTAAGACTGTAGCGGAGAAATATCAATCTGTAATTCGCTTGCAGGGAAGGAAACTCAAACGATAAATGAAACACTTCAAGTCTGCGTTCAGTTGATCCCCTGGTATCCGTGTGTATTCTTATGAAACATTGACATAAAGCCAAAAACTCTTACAGAAGTGAAGTATAAATAACTATTGGTGTGTAAAAGTATACACCAGTGAGATATCTAGTTAATAACTTTCAGTACACTGTTTTAGGTGTTGAATTATACTACTCAGGGAAATATTCAACAGAATTTATTGAACATTTTCAAATTGATCACTTTGTGCACAATGAAGAATAGTTCACTGTTCTCTCCTAATGTCTGTCGCTGTTTTAACTGTGATTTCAATCCTATTTATTTCACAAGATTAAAGTTCATCCATATTTCAATGGATCAATTTGTTTTAACTGTACAATTTAGCTTCATTGTTCACCATGGTGTTATTCAATAATAAAGTATAGTTTTTCTTGATAACTAGTAACGCCTAGTGTCTATTGTTTATGCTTTATTTGGTATTCTTTTCTTCCGTGCTGCTGCTGCATAACTCCTTTTTATTAACTGGCTATACATGTGTGTATCTTGTATTCCTTGATTATTTATTTCATGAAGCTGTCGACATTTGCTATCAACTGTATAGTGTCTTTTTGTCTTTTATATATCCATCACTTCAAACCATCTCTCTGTTCACTGCTTTTTAACTGATTCATAAGTGCTATTCTTTCTCTGTGTGTGTGTGGATTTCCGTTTAACTAAGGCGTACCTAGGGTTTGTATATTTAGGTGCGTTCATCATTGCAGTCTTTGATGATATACTTATAATTGTCCTTCTACGTTTAACGTACTTTCGGAATGAGCAGTGAAGTTTTTTTATCACAACAAGGCATAAACTTGTTTAGTGCAACTTGAAAGAGTGATTATTTACTATGGGATGATTCTGCTGCTGCTAATATCTGTTTCTTAGGAAAATATTAATTGATAAAAGGTGGTTCATAATACCGTGTAGTTTTTAATCCTGTTTAGTGTAGACAGACTTTTATGCCCAGCATTTGTTAAGCAAAGAGTGTTCAAGGGAAATGGTGCACTGTCTTACTCCATAACTCTGGTATGTTCATTTACGGAATGCTGTTTGCGTATTACAGGGAAATAGGTCTAGACTAAATAGATAGTGATGTTGAAGGGTTATATCTCCTAAAGTAAACTGAATATGTGTTCTTTTGTCTGTTTGGTGGTTAGCAGTGGAATCTAGGACGCGCGTTTCTTCCTATTTGAGACTCGTCAGCTGGATGTACCTGCACCCCAATGAGTGATGTTTGTTCTTACTGAGACTAGAAGCAATACCCTGGCATTTGAAGCTGGGGGCACTGCGGTGCAAGTATATCTAGCTGACGAGTCTTAAACAGGACGAAATGCGTGTCCTAGATTCCATTGCTAACCATCAAATAGACTACAATATAATGAATATTAAGGCTAGTATCGAGGCACCCACATAGGTACCCGTCTGCCGACAGAGGTCAATTAATTCTACCCAGTATAACAACGGGAGATTACAAGTATGAACATGTGTTCCTCATAGTATATGTGTAGTAAAAGTGGGATGTAAGAGGCTTTACTGTCAAGGGGATGAGAATCAGTACCATTACTGGGAAATCCGTACCACTAATCTTAACTGTGCATGAAAATTAAGATTTTCTTAGCCAATATTATAACTCAAGTGATCCCGATGGGAACAACATCACTCGCTGGGAGGCAGACACATCCAGCTGACGAGTCCCAAATAGGACGAAATGCGCATCCTGGGTCCCACTATCCGCTATCCATCAGTTATGAATTATATCCATGAACAAATAATCTCAACAACAGATGTGATTATGGATAGTATTTTTCTCAAAATACTACAAAAATTAAAGAAATTCCTTATGTATAAATATTCGTTGCAAATATATGTATAATAGGAAGTAATGAGTTCACTTTTAAGCATAGTGATGTAGTTTTAGCGCGATATTGACGCAAATTATAACTTCGTAACTATATAGGACTTCTTGTCCTTGATAATAACTAATCAATGTTTGATTCTTCCTGATACTTCGATCAGTGGAACGGGGTTTGGATCTGTAACTCCTTTGGGCAAAAGGTGAAGGTCTAAAGCTATGAGCTGCAGTTTCACAAAATTCAGCGTCATATTTAGTTTAATAGCACTGTGTATTGACAAACTGAGCACTATGTAAATTGCATTATATTTAGTTAGGTATCTGAGTACCCTACCTTTAGATTACTCGGAAACTTTTGTTTACTCCCATGCTACAAATAGACGAAATCAACGTAAGACCTGACATTACTACCTAGCGGTCGAAGTTACCTCATATCAGCACATCAAGTAAGAATCCATTGAGATGAAGGTTAAAAAAATTTAAAAAAGAAAGCAATTGAAAGTGATAGAGAGCAGTAAAAAGGGAGATATGATAAATGACGGAATACTAAGTTAAGTATTACGACTAGGATGGAAACAATGTGTGGATGCATCTGCGTCACCGATTCCGGGAGTCTCCGACTGCTGGTTTCTATCTTCACGTGGACTTCAACCGGCTAGTCTGCATTTCCCTACATGGCTCAAACCAACAACCAAAGACTCCATGTAGTGATATCATAGTTTAGTCTGACCGCCCGAGCCTTTTTCCAGCCTGAAACTACTTCAGCTAACATTGTGCGATGAGGCAGACGGGGATTTGGCTTAAGTAACACGTTTTAGCCACCTAAATTGGTGAAAGTTTACAATCTTATCGACTGACTTTTCACTTCTGCCTAAAAATCTACACCTGACTTCTACATTACTCACGCGGTGACACCACAACACACGAAGGCAACGGTGGTCTAACATCTAAAGTGTCCTCTACCTTTTAGCGGTTGTGTTTCACAGTCATAAAATAGAACTGTAAGAACTACAACACTGTACACTCGACCCTTAATAGATAAAATGGATATCGTGACGACACTACAGATGATGTAAGTTGGCAAAAGTCAGTCGAGCCTTTTGTTTGCGTGCAGAGATTTCGTCGTTCACTAACCCGCTCCAGCTTCCTTAGTGAGTGAATTGGTCAACGCAAATGATATATAGTCAGTTATAATTAGGTGATTTTCAATAACAGCACCAGTAATCATGATAATCAAGTCACTATGATTTCCTGTTAACTGCAAACATACTTATTGCTGAAATTCTCTTTTAGGGCTCCGATAAGAATGATTCAAAGCCAAGACCACCATCTTGTGATTTGATTGATTCATTTGATACTTCTACAACCAAAGCTGATCAAGTCATAGATCTTTTTGATACTTTTAATACAATGCATATTACAAATACGAGTGTACTTCCTCAAAAACAACAACCACATCAAGTTCGGAATAACTTTGATGCAAATTGGTCCAATAGTTTGTTTCCTATAGCAGTGTCTTCAGGAAACAATTTGATTCAAAATAACACTACTGTGTCTCGTCAAAACCATGATAAGTGAGTCTAGAAATCTTAATCTAACTTATACTTTATGTAATTGTGGTACTGGGGCTTATTTGATGCTAAACACTTGACTTTTATCCAATGAGTAACGAATTTGAACCCAACTCAATCTAGTGAGGTTTCCCTATAACCGTTATTACCTTAGTATGCCAACTTGTATGTGGTTGTTGGGTGGCACCAGTATATTGTTATTACCACTTTTATCATTATTGTTTCGGTTATTAGTTTCTTTAATTTTTTTTAATAAAAAAATGTTTCAGTCTACTGGATAATGAATTTGGTGAATTCACTTCTGCGTCTGTGCAATCCCCTACTTTTGTTACGCCTACTGTGGCTGGGAATTCATCTCTTTCATCGTTTGACAGTTTCGGTTTTGATTCTTCAAATACCGATGTAAGTTGACTTACAAGTAAAAGTTATAGTTACTTTTCTTAATTTGAGTAACATTTCAGCGTTTATTTTCTTTCTTTTTTTGTTGAGTGAAAAAAATATTCATACGTTTAACACATCAAGAGAATATGCTACACAAAACAATGTTAAGGAGTTCTGAATACACCCGAGAAGAGAGGTAAAAGGAAATTGTCAGATGAATGTACTGATTTCATCGGTCGATATCGTGAACTAACTTCAATTGGAGAAAAACAGAAAATATGGGGGCAATGGTCAGCTATTTCGTCCTAGTATCGGACTCAGCGGTGCACACTCATGGCCCCACCAGGGATCGAACCCAGGACCTTTAGGTTATGTGGTCAGCACGTTGGTATTGAGCCACTAGGTTGGAATCCAGTGGTCCATATCTCCTATTTCTGTCAGTTAATGATATACCGCGACCTCCATCCAGTGCAGTCGTTGAGTAACTGTCCTCACGTTCAACTCGGTTGACCCTACCGGTCATGATTTCTCATTAGAACTTCGGGAATCATCTCTCAAATCAAGTCATTGATGAACACTAGACAGTAATTCCATTTAGGAGGTTTGTTGGAATTTATTGATTGGTTTAAAGTTGATATTCAGATAAAAAAAAATACTCCTCAGGAAGCTTTTTTCTGAGACCAAATGTTACAGTGTCACTGACATTGGCTTTTATTCTCACAACTTTTGTTGCCAACATGTTGTAGAGTCTTGTTTTACTTCACCCGGAGGTGTTCACACTAAGAGACACTCCTCCAATATAGTTATCTTAGTAGGAATCGTTGTGAATCGTACTAAGTTGGTGATCAAATTGAATTACCGGTGGCTTAACACCCTTATGTACTTTTTCTGTGTAATGCTTTTCAGCCATTAGACTATTGTGGCACTTTGCTTACCAGATAGGTGATTTTTAAGCATTACTGATGGCGTCTATTAATTTTATCATATTTTCAGTATTATATACGTTTATAGTAATGATGAATAGTGGCTAGCAGTGGAATCCAGGATGCTCATTTCGTCCTATTGGGACTCGTCACCTGGATGTACCTGCCTCCGAGTGAGTGGTGCTAGCCACTATCCATCATTACTACAACTAAAAACAGGTAATATCGAGGTATCCGCGCAGGAGCCTATATGCCAATAGAGACCGATCAATTCGGTCCAATCAACGACGGTATCATACAAGCAATAATACTTATCTACATTTAATTTGCCTAATATTGACAAAATCCACCCATGCATTTAAAACTATCAGCTAAGTTTTTCCTTGCTCCTATTCCTATTGTACATTGATAAGATGTTGAGTTTTGGTAGGTCATCTCACTTCTCGTTATCAATATATATACGCACCTGGAATATGTTAGGAACTTTTATTTAACTACAGGGTTAGTTGGTCGACCATGTGTACTGATTTAATTTAATTGTCTATTGTTACTGTTTTGCATTGTATGTAACTCGAACAGTTACTGTTCATCACTCTAGACTATCAGGCTTCAGATTTTCTGCAGCGAATCTGTACAGTCTAAAATGGATTTCCAGTATTTTCATTTCGTTGCTAGGGCATTCCATTCTAAAATAAAATAGTTTCAAACAGCTCAGTTGGTTGACAGGTGTTGCAAAAGGCATAGATTTGAAATAATCGACAACTTAAAATATGATTTTTTAAAAACTATCCATCATTAACAACAAATATGCTATCTGTAGTAAACACTCTTCATGTTGTTGTCCACTTAGTGGCTAGCAGCAGTGGAATCTAGGATGTGGGTTTCGTCCTGTTTGGGGCTTATCAGTTCGATGTACCTGCCTCCCAATGAGTGATGTTGTTCCCATTGAGACTACAATCCAATACCCATCGCTTCAAACACCAGATTGCGATAAGTATTAGTTATTGTTTATTGATACTTGTAATCTCGCGTTGCTGTGCTGGGTTGAATTCCTTGACCTCTATTGGATTCCACTGTTAACCACCAGGCAGATAATATGATGAATAATCGGACAGTATTAAGGCATCTGCATACTAATCCATCTTTCAACAAAGGTCAAGCAATTTGACTCAGTATAGCAAAGCAAGGTTACAAGCATCAAACAATACTTCATCTTTCTTGATTTCCTGTTAGAATTATTCCCTGGAATATGGTTTTCTTGATTTATTGTTACTAATTTCTTTTAAGTGAACTAACATTAACCTTTTCATTTGCCAATAGTTTTTATCGCTAACTAGAGCAGAAGTGTTTTATGCATTTATTGCTACAGTCATTCTTCCTAGTTATCATTGATGTAATGAAAAGGAGTTATGTTATCGGTTGAGATTATTCAAATGCATTCTTTTCATTATATCCACAACTTCTTGTCTTTTGTCCTGAAATCTATATGTTGAAAAACCATTCAGCAGTAAGTCTTTGTGAAAGTGTGGCTCATCAGTCTAGGCATTTGAATTCCAATCTATGGGTCATGAGTTTAAAGCCCACCTCATCTACCGATATCTGAACAGTCAGGTTTTATCATTAAGCTTTACACAATAAGTGTGACTTATTGCCTACTGCACGAATGTGTATATGCTTGTAGAATGAATTCGGGTCAATTTTTTGCGTTTGATCTTTAGCGTGTTCATTTATAAAGTAGAGACAATGGCCTAATATCGTTAACCATTGTTGTATATATATTTGTTTATGTACTTCATCAATCACTCCTTTATCGGTTATCTCGAAGTGATATTCTTTTAGTATAAACAATCTTTGCATTTCTAGGAGTGTGAGTTTTTACTAACCTTTAGCAACATTTGCTTGTGCCTTTTATTCTGTTTTTACTCTATATATGGACATCACCTTCCTCATATAATGTATCTTTGAATCAGAAAAAGTAACTTAATGACCTTTAATCGCCACACTGTTTCAATATTACCAGTTCACGACTATCTTAGATAGTCTTATCAACAATCAATATGACGCCTCCTCCTTTTTAATTGGGCTCGATTTATATTTGGATGAGAAATCCTGGTTTTGCTGATAATATGATTACGATAAATGTGCAGTTATGCACCACAAGTATGTGACAGGTAGTCGAAATCCTCAGTGAAGTTAAAACACCTGGTCAGCGTCACTGATTCAAATTCTGTTGTTTAAGATAATTATATAGGGGAATGCACCTTTACCAGTGCCATGAGTTTTGTAACGTATTATCTTAGATGTTTATTCATCAACTTCTGCTGTTTGCACAGAAAGTAACCGACAGCTAACGACTTTGTGGATTATCGCTATGTCTTATTTTATGCAAACTAGAGTATTGAGCTGCGTGTTGGTTAACCCTTAGCAACTTTGTAACTGCCGTTTCATAACTTGATTCATCATTACCTTTTCTTAATGGATAACTATGTGGTACATTTAATAATAATCGCTTTATTCCAAACAACATGTATGATACAGTGTGGAATTTTCAGCATATTTCAAAACATCCGCTTTCCGTAAAATATCTTTAAAAGAAATAATTATGTCTGTATAGTATTCATAATAACAGTATTGAAGGTATAAGTGTAAAACGGGCGGTTACTGTTACATTACCACCTGTTCTCGATTCAAAAATTAACACAGAATCGGGTGTAATTTTGATGGTGACAGCTGGGCCAGCCAGCACAAAAATTTACACTTCTGTACAAGTCACCTAGGAATAATAATGTTATGTATTTTTGAGCATTTACAAATTCATTTCCAATCTATGGAATGTTTTTCCTTTGTTTTGTTCTTAGCCTGAGAAACGAAAGTTCGAAAATATTTTAAAAACGTGCGAGAGTTCATGATGCGTTCAGAAGGTATTTAAAAGATTAAAACAAACTAAAAGGGTAGAATTTGATGGAATATAATGGGTGGAAAGTTTTTTGGTAGCCCAAGATTTAAGCAGGTTGCTGCATGTAAATTGAGATGAGTTTTATATCATTAAAGTGTGCATATCAAAAAAGAAATACTCTTAAGTCTTTGTAACTCATTTCTTAGTAGATAAATTACATTTTATTGAAGGTATTCATAATAATGGAGATTCTACATTTAGGAATTATGACTATTTCCCATGACTTCTACTGTCTGACGATTGTCTTATCCTTATTCTGACACTAAGTGGTGATAGATCAAGTAACTAGGTTAGTATGTTATGTGACTGACTAGGTCTATTTCGACATAGTTTCGTATCATAACACATTTCCTCTTTTGTGTCCATTTTTTTATTAGAGTTAATAATTTTGCATAATATCATTATTCAGTTTAAAGTGATTACCCATAATACAAAACTTAGTAAAAGTGGACTCATTATTTTCACTCGGAAATGATGGTTAACATTGACAGGAAACATTAGCAGCAACTGGGTTCGAACCATCGGCCTTCAATTCCCTAACTCAACGCTCTACCTACTGGATTACGAGATGTAACCGCTAATCATATCTCTATATTGCTGCAACCGTTCATTGTTATATTCAACTAGATCTCAACTTCAGTCAGTTAGACATACAGACAAGACTGACAAAATCAACGTAGAACCTTGTAAACAGGTGCATCAGGTCAAGTTGTGACACTTTACATTAGAACGCAAAGAAAGAACAGATTTGCAGAAATTCAGGGTGATATCAAATTAGACAAATTTGTGTGAGAGAATAAACAATTTGAAGATACTGGTTATAACAAATATTCAAGCTATAGAAGATGTCAAGGAGTGGATACATCTGCGCTATTTTGACTGATTTCCAGCCATACCACCACGAGTCTTCAACCACTGACTCCTTTCATCATTTCGGGGACCCCAACAAACCAGCCTACATCTGACACAACCTAGACTCAACTTTAAGTAATAAACTCTGCACATAAGCACTAGTTTAGTTAAAAATAATTTATACTGGCTGATGATTGAAAGTGAAGTAAAAATTTGAACCGTGACCGGATTTGAACCAATTGCCACCGAGTTTCCTGCCCGATGTTCTACCAACTGAGCTACGAGGTGCGACTGCTAACGAGATTTTTATTTCATTTCAATCACTATGGGTTTTGCCCGACTACCATATGAATTCGTAATGGATTACTACCGCTTGATCGTATTCACACTGGCTGCCTAGTCAGGACTTCTCATCCCATAGCGATTGAAGTGTTGGTTGAATATCGGGCGGAAAACTCTCTGGTCGCTGGTTCGAATCCCGCTGCGGTCCAAATTTTCACTTCATCTTCAATCATCACCCAGTATAAATACTAGTCTGTCAAATCACGGCTATCTCAGATAGTCGAAATGATAAAATAATTTGTTGTTTAAAATGTTTTATTATGAATGTGTTTCAGTATATCTTTTTCATTTTTTGTTTATTTTTCTCACTTATTCATTTGTATGTTAATTAGTTTTATTTGAACATGCCAACTGAAACAATTAAACCGCAGCAACAATTGTCATCATCATCGTCATCACAACAACACCAACAAACAGTTCAATCGAATCCAACTTCACCATCAAAATCAAAATCTCTTAATATTGGTAGTACATGGAAAGATTTAGAATCATTAAGTATTGACTTAGACGCATTAGTAAAACCTGAAAAGTATGGTACACGAACTCAAGCACCGAGTCTATATCAATTGAAACAAAATCAACCACGTGTTCAATCATAATTTGAATTGTATGTGCTTGTGACATATTATAAACAAAAAGACTTTTGAGAATAATTTCAAATCATACAGTGGTCAACACTTTTCTATGCCTACGGATGACAATAATATGCATCTATTATTACTATTATTACATATTACTTTAGATCAGACTTGCTCAGTTTGAAGAGAAATAATGAAGCACACGCACACACGAGAAGTTCATCATTTTGTTTTATATAATTTTCTCCTGTTTACTTTGACCAAAAAGGTATCTATTTCTACTTGATTTCCTTTTTATCCTTTTCTGTTTTTTGTTTGTTCATGAATTGAGTTAGTGAATAACTCAGTTGTGTATTGTTCTTCTTGTCTAAAAGCAAACTTTAATTTTATTACTATTATTATTACTGTCACTATTATTACGGTCTCTTAGTCTCGTTGTAAAGTGTATTTAATTGAATTGATGTTGAATGCTCCTACTTTGCAGATGTTTGATAAATGTATGGTGATCGTCAGCTTCCTAGTGAATTTATTTTATTGTCTTTCAGGTAGTTTATTTTACCTTAACTACTCCTCCATTTCTTTCTTATTCTTTGCATTATTGTCATATACAGTAGGAATGGGGGGGGGCGACTGGAAACTATTGGTCTTATTGTGTAAAATAGTTTTCTTTTAAAGTAAGAAAGAAACTGACAAGTTGCCATTTTTCGTACTCCAGTTTTTCTGCTATTTTACTTAAAAAAACTTATTTTCTACTCTACTGTACAAGCTTCTGTGATGATTTAGCCTATATTAGTGTTAAGCGAGAAGTTTTAACGTGATTTCGAATGTTTTTATCATATATATATATAATATATATATGTGAACAGTTCATTAAGCGTAGAATAATTACATAACAGTGTGCCTTAAAGTTGAATTTTCTGCCTCTTCCCCTTCACATTCACTTCGATTTGTATCCATTCACTTGAAGCAATGATTTGATTGGTTTGTATGGTTAACTTTGCTTATTATCTATCTATGCTTCCAATCGCCCTATATATATATATATATATATATATATATATATATATATATATATATATTTGATAAAGTTTGAGTACTTGAACTGATAACATGAACCAGTTGTGATCGATGTTTCTTTATAATTTTTGTTTTTGGATAAAATTTCTATACGAATTTATTGTTTGTCGAAGTGTGCAAAGAAAAAAAATTAGAGTAGTAAAACAATCAAATGACGGTTTTTCTTATTGTTGAAGTGTTATCTGTGTAGGCAATGGGATCCAGGATGGAAATTTCGTCCTATTTGGGACTCGTCAGCCGGGTGTACTTGAATCCCAGTAAGTGATGGTGTTTCCCCTGGGTCTGGAACCTACCCACCATTGGTTGAAGTGGTAAAACGTTATTCACTAGGTTACTAAAGCATGAGAGCCACATGCTGTGCAATCAGCATGAGTTGTTGTTGTTGTTTATTAAAATACTTGGCTTCCACTGCTAGCTACCATCAATCTTCATTCAATATCGAAGCATCTGAACAGGAGTTCGTATACCAACAGAGATCAATCAATTCTATCCGGTATAACAATGGGGTATTACGAGTATCAGTAAATAATTATTTACTAAGTTGGTTATCTTGTCAATACTATGTACAGTATAGTAAGTGAGACGAAAGTATTATAATCCGGATTTGGTATATTGAACACTGAGATGTTGATACAGCCGAGCTCTGGATACTTTAATCAGTTTGTCAACTCAATCATCAGTAGGTAAGAAAAGGATAAAGCAGGAAGAAATCACTCGACACTGACGGTGAACAATGAGGGAACTCAGAATAATCTTGCATATTAGCGGAGCTTTACTTCGAATCTGCATAAAGCAAATTCGATTGACGTAGATAGTTGATCTGGGGGTGTAACTAGTGAGCTCAAGAGGACTGTTACAAACGACCTTTTTAGAAGTTTCGATTCAGTAAGCAGTAGTACTTCACCTTCAAATTGTTTTATAGTGGTTTGACTGTTAAGTCCAGTGTCTTCCGCTTCATTGTACTCCAGCTGGTCATTCTAGTGTGGTAGCATCCCAACTATTATAATTTTGATGGGTCGTTTATAATAGGTTGATTTGACTTGTATGCCTAAGCAGCAGCTACGTTCATCCACCTTGGTTTATAATGAACGCTATTTGGGAAACTGACTAATTCAATCTAAGCTACCTACTAGTTTAAAAATACGTAATGACAGTCGATATTGTTACTTTTGGGGCCTATATTGGTGTAACCTGGTCAACCTTCATTTTCAACGCATGGCTTTTAGAATATATACATGCACTACTGTTTTCATCAGTTACTATGTGTACATATGAAAGCTCACTTTGAACACTAGTTCGATATTTCAACTGTTTATGAACAGTAGGATTACGATGGGAGTCTTACACTAGGAACTATCAAGTATTAAGGAGTGTATTCACTTGGAGTGTATTTGAAAACTGACTGCCAACCAAGTTTCCTACAATGATTGACTAGTAGACTGCTATGGTAGCATTCCTGCACGAGTTGTCTGAATCCAAGCATGGTGTAGATTTTCTTTCAACTTCGTTCAGCATATCTCTCTGTGCCTTATTATATATGTTTGCTTAGTAGATGGTATGACGTCATCTTAGACCAGAAGTGTGAAAATATCTTATGGATTAAGGCATATATGAAGTCACTTCTAGAATAATATATTTAAGGGTAACTATATGGATCGTTTTATAGTTGATCCAATCTCAGGACACTAGGCATAGATTGTATGCTCATTACACCACTAGTTACGTATATTCACTGGTTCTGTTTGACAGTCAGTACTTTGACATATTCCATCTGTAGAAACAAAGTTGTGGTAAAGATGATTTTTGAAGGTAAGGAAAGGTCTGTTTTGAATTCACCTTGCTTCCTTCTTACCTGCTTTTTCTCATTGTTCCAAGTTACTTTTAAACCAGTTTTGTTAGAAATAACAAAGAATGGATAGTTTCCGAGTTGTTGTTTGGGCGGAAACGGGTTTTTTAAAATCTAGGCTAACACAGAATTGGAATAAATCTTGTGCTGAAGAGAGGGAAGTAAAGTTTCTCGACCCGGAGTTTGACTTTTCTGATTCCCTGAATTCAGTAAAATTTGTCATTCACTTTGGTAGGCCTTCAGTTACCTCATTAACACCAAAAGTGTAAATTGAAAGAAGCCGAACCAACTTTTTTCATTCACTATCCGCTCGCATGGGTTAGTGAAATTGATGTTCTCTTGATAATGACAATGTGCATGGAATTTCCATAGTGTATAAACAAGCATCCTGAGTAAATTGAAGCTTTAAATCTTGAAATGACACCTCGTAACACAATGGTTCACAACGTGAATGCCCTCGAGCATTGTATTAGTGATTTGTAAAGGAAAATGCGTGCTGACGGCGACTATCTTCAGTCGCTGTAGACCATTTAGATAGTTATCAGTTTTCGTATAATTTGTTTTTGATTTATCAAAAATAGTGTAGTTTCAGACACTTTTCTGTTGAGCATTTCTAACTCTTCCATTCTGATATGACATGGCCAATAGGATTATCTAGCCGCGTAAGGTTAACAACAAACAATATGCTTTTTATAGGTATGTTATTCTGATTGGCCACTGGATAGTAATCAGTATCATGTTATTATATCTAAGTAATAAATAAGTTCTATCGACCAAACTAGTACAGTTAAATGACTCATCATCGCAGTGTACTTTGACTGATTGGTGGCAATCGACAGAAAGCTTCGATTCTAGGATTTCTGTTTGTTGGTACCAGTTAGCATGGAGTATCTGCGACTCCGAGTGAAATGATATTCACTCAAATGAATGCCGACAAACGTGAAACCTAAGTCTACGGTGACCTATCGATTATAACCAACCGTCTAGTAGATGAAAGTTTTGTCTAATTATATAGAATGTAGGTAAGAAAATGAGCTAACAGACACTTCTTTTGGGGATTAATGATGACAGTGTGGTTTCAACGCTCATTAGTTATCAAAATAAACAACGATTCCGTGAAGAAAGTATCAAGTTTCTAGATATATACTTTCTTGAATATATGCATCCACTAGTTTTTAGAATCATCAAAATTTTATCGAAGAATGAATTTATACACCTACGTCAAGGTCACGTAAGCAACAAAATATCATTTCTCGATAGATGGACTCCTGAATGCGTCTTCTAAGTATCAATCTTTAGTTACCCTGTGTCTGCAATATGACATACTGAAGATCAATAGTAATGTCTTAAAACAAAGTCTTACATTTTTAAATCATCTACTTTTACTCCTTATGCAAGATGTTATTTCATTTCTAAATTGATTCATTCGACGAACTAAGCGTTGTTTTATTTCATTAAAAAGGTAGCACCCAGTTCCCTGGAATGGTTATCATGATGTTTGTTATTCACTTAACAAGACATTCTAGAAACTGTTCTTGTGGAAATAGTTACATAGGGTGTACAATTAGTCAAATGCATTTCAGGATACGGGAGCAGTTACCAGCTTAGTTTGGAAAGGATGAAATCAAAAGTTCAGTTTTAGCGCATCCAGTCGACACAGGGCATCACTGAGATGCTAATAAAGCTTTCAATGTCATTCATCGTGTTCCGAAAACGACACTACATGTAGCTCACCAACTTCTGCTCAATATAGTTTAGGCTATCACAATAAGATTGATCAAACCTGAACTCTGTATTCAGAAACAACATGTCCAAGCGTTATTTCTCACTTGGCCTTCAGCTAACTAAAGGCCACTCTTGTCGTCTTATTTGTTATCTTTTGGTTCACCATCATATCATTCTTCTGAATATGTATCATCCTAAAATCGATTTCCTTACAATCTCTAGATCTCACTCCATTTTGAAAATGTGCCTGCATGAGCCTAATATGGCTTGTTTTTACGCTGTACAAATGCATTTTATAATCATATAACCTGAGGAGAATTTATTGAAAAGAATATTCTTCGTTCAGATTGTTACTTTTATCTACACCGTTTAA